AGCACTCCATTCTTTATTAGTGTCTAACTGATTCATGTCTTATGCGAATGTGTCTTTTCTTACCATTGTAATCTTGGTTCTTAGCCACACATATCGCAGCTTGTGAATCACACAATAATGAAACTGGAGGAGTCAGTCTTCCCTACAACAGAATATCTGCTAACAAGCTTCTGAGCCACTCGGCTTCTTTCCCAGGTAGGTCAAGAGCTATAAACTCTGACTCCATGGTAGAACGAGCAATACAAGTCTGCTTTGATGATTTCACGATGCTGCTCCACCCAAAGTAAAAACTACCCGCTCGTAGAGCTTACCTCATCATTATCAGAAACCCAGTTGGCATCACAATATTCCTATAGTACCGCAGGAAAGCCAACAAACTCAAGTTTCCAATCTAAACTACCCTTAAGATACTTCAGTAAGCGTTTAAGAGCAATCCAGTACTCACCACTCGAATTATGAGTATATCTACTCAGTCTACTCACAACATAAGCAATATCAGGCCGAGTATAGTTCATTAAGAACATTAAGCTCCCAATTAATTTATCATATTCAATTTGGGAAACGCTACTTCCTTTATTAACAACTAGATGTATGCTAGGGTCATAAGGAGGAACAGGGGACACATCAAAACTGTCAAATTTATTTAGCACTTTCTCTATATAATGTGCTTGACATAAAGAAAATCCCTTCTCATTTTTGGTAACTTTGACTCCTAAGATTACATCTACTTATCCCAAATCTGTCATCTCAAACTTAGTGGACAAGAAATTTTTAACTTTGTTAATGGACTCATTGTTAGAACTGAAAATCAACATGTCATCAACATAAACTTATGATAACACATTTAGTGTCAAACATCTTCGAATACACACAAGCATCCGAACCATTCATAACAAAACCAAAACTAAGAATAGTTTTATGAAATTTTTCATACCACTGTTTAGGAGCCTGCTTAAGTCCATAAAGTGAATTGTTGAGTCTACAGACTTTGCCTTCCATACCAGGTACTTCAAAACCTAGTGGTTGCTCCATGTAAATCTCCTCATCTATATCTCCATTCAAGAAAGCAGTCTTAACATCCATTTGATATACCTGCAACTTATGAATAGAGGCTACTGCAAATAATGCACGAATCGTTGAGATTTTTGTAACGGGAGAGTATGTATCAAAGTAGTCTAAACCAAACCTTTGAGTGAACCCTTTAACAACTAACCTTGCCTTGTACCGCTGAATCGAACCATCTGGCCTTAGTTTCTTCCAGAAGACCCAATTATTGGAGATTGGTTTGAATCCCTTAGGCAAGTCAACTAATTCTCAAGTATGATTAGACATTATCGATTCTAGTTCATCATTAACAGCGCTTTTCTGAAAACTAGCATCGATAGATTATAGCTTCTTCAAAAGTTTTAGGATCACATCTAAACATAAAAATTTGAGCTATAGGATCTGAAATGGAGTCTAAATCATTTATCTTAATAAAGGAAGTAATAAAGTCTGGTCCAAAAGAGGTTTCAACTCTTTGCCTTTTACTTCTTCTAGGCTCAAAATTAATTTGTTCAGAAGACCTAGCAGGATTACTAGAAGAAGTTGATGGAATATATTCTATTTGTGTTTCAATATTTATTCTTGGTTCCTTTAAAGGAAAAAGTATTTTCAAAGAAAACAACATCCCTTTACTCACAAATAGAATAATCTTGTAAAAGCATGAATCTGTATGCAGCACTATTCGTAGCATACCTATAAACACTGCATCAACAATTTTAGGTGATGGTGGACTTCTTAAAGTCTGGCAAACTCACTTTAGCCAGACACCCCCACACTTTCTAGTATTGTAAATTAGGAGCGTATCATTTCCACAATTCATATGGGTAGAATCTAATTTCTTATGAGGAACTCGGTTCAAGATATGAGTTGACGATATAATGGCTCCCCCCCCCACATGTTATCAGATAACCCTGAACTTATTAGTAAAGAATTCATCATCTCTTTTAAAGTTCTATTTTTCCTTTTGGATATACCATTCTGTTGAGGAAAATAGGGGGCTGAAGTTTCATGAATTATGTCATTCGTTTCACAAATATCTTTTAAGAAATTAGATCCATATTCACACCTCTATCATCTAACCCGTTTGATTCTCCTATCTAACTGTTTTCAACTTCTGCCTTATAAATAGAAAGAAGTTTTCAGCTTCATCTTTAGTCCTTATGAGATAAACTTTTGTATATCTTGAATAATCATCTACAAAAGTTATGTAGTAGTGTTTTCCTCTTTTACTTTCAGTGTTTCTAAAATCTGCTAGATCAGTATGAATAAGTTCTAACACTCAGTTTCTATTAGAAACAGTCTTAAGTGAGGTCTAGTATGCTTAGCTTCTACACAAATCTCACATTTGTTAAAGCTAGTTGTGTCTAGTTTAGGCAGAACATTCATATTTATTAATTTCTTTAAAGAATGAATATTCACATGTCCTAATCTAGCATGTCATATATCAATGGATTCAACAATATAAGCAGAAGTGGTAGCTTTATTTTCATTAAATTGAGTTTCTATGACAAATAAACCATTGCTTAAAAACCCTTTCCCAACATAATCACCATTTTGGGAAAGTACAAGTTTATCTGCCTCAAAAACTAACTTAATGTATGCCTTATTCAGAATCCACCACTTATCAAATTTCTACTCAAGGCATGTACATACAGAACATTATTTAAAGCCAGAGTTTTACCAGAGGTCAGCTTGAGTAGAACCTTGCCTTTGCCTAGCACTTCAGAGCTGCTAGAGTTCCCCATGTACACACGTACACCTACGTTCCCATCCTCGAATTCGGTGAAAAACTCCTTCCTTGCGCAGAAATACTTTGAAGCGCCAGTGTCAACAACCCATTTCGAACTGTTTTCCACCAGATTGACTTCTGAGACCACCGCAACAATGATCTCATCATCTTCTTCTACAACGTGCATCTATGGCTTGTTTTCATTCTGGCGGTCTGAGCGGTGTTGGCATTGGTAAGCTTTGTGGCCGGGTAAACTACAGACATAGCACTTGAGCGTCTTTCCTTCAGGTTTGGCCTTTCCTGACTTCTTGAAGTTGGTAGCCTTCTGAAGTTTCGTCTTCTTGTCTTGATTCCCACGTTTCATAATCTTCTTAAATTTAGACTCAACCAAGTTAGCTCTAAAAGATAAATTACTCATAGAATTAGTAAGCTTATCTTTTAAATGGTTGGCTTCTTTAATCTTCATATGGCCCACGTGCTCTTCAAGAGAAATTTCTCTCTTCTTATGCTTAAGAGAGTTGCGGTAGTCAGACCAAGACTTGGGCAGCTTCTCAATGAGAATATTGGCTTGCAGCACCTCGCACATTTGCATCCCTTCGATGATGATGTCAGCAACTAGGTTCTCATAGTCATGGACTTGATCCATTATCATCTTGTCATCAGTCATCTGGAATTTGAGCCATTCACCGACAACGTACTTCTTGATGCCAGCATCATCCGTACCATACTTTTTATCAAGAGTATCCCATATTACCTTGGCACTCCTTTCTCTAAGGAACATATCAAATAATTTATTTGACATGTGACTGAGCAGATGTCCTCGCATAGTTTTGTTTTCTTTTTCGTACTTCTTGTAGGTAGCGAGTGTAGTAGCGGCAGTTGCTAGGGCATCATCATTGAGGACCACATCAGTATCATTATCGGTAGCTGGGGTTGGTGGCATAGTAGGTGGTGGCTTGAGCAACACGTAGTCAAGATCAAGTTGCTCAAAGAATATCAGGATTCTTTGGGACCACCTTCTATAATTCTTTCCATCAAGTGCATCGAGCTTGGAAAGATCGGGTATCAGTTTGCTCAAAGGTGTTGACATGATTACAGTATATAGAATTCGTTTCTAAATTGTTGGTAAAATAGATTGCAAAACTACACCGTTAGCACTGACTGGAAATATAAACAGTAATGAAAAGGAATAGATTCGTAAACCATGTCGTGGTATAACCACTGCCTTAGAAATGAATTCGCCCCGATGTGTGTAATCGCTGCAGTAGGCGGACCGTCCCCCGAGGTTAACGGGGTAGCTCCGAATTTCGTACACCCGAAATCGAAGTGGACTGCCGGTGGTATTGCTCTTCTTATCGGAAAGCACACAGAGAGAATATTTAGAAAACACTTGGAGAGTGAATTCTGAATGTTGAGAGAGTGAGTTGAGAAGCTGAATATAACCCTCTATTTATAGGCTAGAAATAGGGTTAAAATCGTCTATAAAATTTCAGGATTAAATCTCTTCTTTTGTAACAGCTAAAACGTCTAGATGAACCTAACCCAAAAATAGTCCAGGTTCATTGCATCATTATTCAGCTGCTATAACTCCCGAAATTATATCATGTAACCCCTGGAATTAAATCAAATAACTCTTACAAAGCTGGAAAATCAGTCCATATACATCTTTCACATTTTTCCATTTGTTTCTTTCAAAGAGAAATTCCTCAAGAATTTTCTCTAAAAAAGATAGTATCCGCACATACGTGTCGAAGACACGTATTACCACGACCACGACCACGAGCCGAGCCGAGCCAAGACGGACGGCGGCGGCGGCGGTGCGCGAGAGTCCCCCTTGTTCTCTTTCACTCAACAATGAAGTGGGAAATCCAAACCATAAATACCCATTCCCAATAGTATTTCCAATAGTATTTTCAATAATACGTGATATTGAGCATTATCAACATTTGTAAATAAGGAAACATCACTGCTGGTGTTACCAACTCCATGATGAACTGACAGATGTAAATTGGGGTCATTCGAGTCTCCATTCAAAGCTGCAAAACGGGATCCTCAATTTTCAGTTTCCTTATCAGTGACAGTATATTTACCGTTATCTTTTTCGGTTGGTGAACTCCGATGACGTCGTTCGACGATCATCCAGGGGCCATAAAGATTGATTTTCGGGTTGTTCACTTCCACCATCGTGAGGTTGCTTCTCGTTGGATTGGTAGTATCTTCCTTGGGTTTATCGAGAGGGATCACCATAATGAGCTTCTTTTAGGTGGCCGAACCTTCCACAGGAAAAGCACATGAGGGGCAGGTTTTCGAACTCCACAGCCTGAACTTTGTTTCCACGCATAATCCGAGACACTAGGGGCTGCTTAAGATCTATGTAGGCAGCAACACGAGCAAAACATCTCCAGTTACTCGTATCTTTACGCCAATCAAGTTTCGAAACCCTGCCAATGAGATTACTAATACAAGTTAGAATTTTTTTGCTAAACATATATTCCGGTAAACCCGGAAAACGAATCCAAGCCATAACAGTAGTAGGAAAAGTTCGAGATGAGCTAAAATTTCTCGTCCATGACTGAACAGTGAGGTATTGGCCGTAGATAATCCAGGGCCCCTCAGTCAAGAATTTTTCATAGTCGTTTTCGTTTTGGAATTTCGCCAAGAAGTATACATTTTCCATATCAATGAGGTTGAAAGTTTGAGAAGGTTTCCAGAGTGCAAAGCTTTTGTTCGTAAGAGCATGCAACCCTATATTACGCCCCAAGCAGATTGAGAATGATCGTTTTGGACATGCTCTCTTCTATAATTTTATAGGCGCGTTTAGAGGATTGGATTGACAGTAAGCCCCCGCGCGTGCCAGTAATAATGTCCTCATCACTGAGATCAAAATCTCCTTCATCCTCCATCCTATTGTCAGGCGTTGTGGAACTGACGCGTAAGAAGTGGCAGTTTCATCTGGTTTATCTATCGTCATGTCGGCTTCATGATTAATGCTGATCAGGTAACGTATATGTATGGTCACTTAATTATTAGTAAAAAATTATTTTCTGTTCACTCAATTTTTAAAAATTTATAAAATAATCACTTATGTATTTGATCCATGGGATGATGTTGTAACATTCAAAACTGATACAATACCAAAATTATCTGAATTTGTTTTCAATAAATAATGCAACATATATTTTTATTATGCTTCTTAATTACAAGCCTAATTCAATATACATTTTATAAACAATTACCTAATTAAAAATGGGCTAACCACTAGTGGCACCATATACATCATTAATCAAGTCTCATTTCAAGAATACGTTGTAGACAGTGCCAAGAATATGGTCTAATTATTTTTAATATTATTAAGGTTTCAATTTCTTTTTCCTAATATTTATCATTATAGGCTTAGTTTTTTTTTTATTTTATTATTAGGGATATTCTTATAAATGATTTTTTCTAATATTGTATAAATTTCTAATTTTTTTCCAATATTTTTTCTAAAATTTTTCATTAAAAACTCAATTATTCAATACTTATTTTACAGGAGTTCAAATTTTTCAATATTTATTATTAGGGGTATTTTAAAATTTAATATATTTTTTAATATTTATTGTAACACCCAATTTAGGGGCTAAAATTTAGAAATTATAAAGTGGTGGATTTAACTGGTATTTTTGAAAGAAACGGTGGATTAAATTGTAAAATTTTAAAGTTGACAGACCGTTTTAAGAAATATATTAAATTCAGTAGCTAAACTTATGATTTGACCATTTTTCTTTATGAGTTAATATAAACCCCATTTCTCGTGCATTTTATGCAGAAAATGCTCATAATTCTTCTCTTCTCTCCCGGTTAACAAATTGCAACTCCGATCTACTCGTCGTCTGACCTCCGATCGACGAGCCGAAACCACCATCGTGTTCGTTGTCGACCAAGGAACAAAACCCCTCAAACCTTTCGTCGTTAATCGTCGCCGTTTGTCGTTAATTTGAGTCAGAAGTAGCGTCGGTAATAACTCGATTTCAGTTGGTTTTTCGTCGATTCACGACGATCTGATTATCCGTTTACGACACCTCCCGCACCATCGTGTTCCTTGCATCGTTCCGAGTCCGCCGGTGTCATCCTTGGTCTCCGTCGAAGGCGGCGCGTGAGGAGGTGAGACGGTCAAAGTTTCCGATTTGTTGAAATCGAGCTCTCCGCCGTTCAAAATTGTGAACCGAGCTTTGTAAGTATCTCGAAATCGCTCAAAATAATTTTTAGAAATTTTTACGTGATTTATAGGACATCGGAGGAGGTCCCACGCACCCCCACGCGTCGCCACTACGCGTGGGGATGGTCCAAATGACCGGTTTGACCGGGTTTTTTTACCAATTTTACCGGTTTGACCGGTTACAACCTGACCCGACCCGTTGACCGTTGATCGGCGTTGATTTTATTGACAAAAACTTTGACCGGCTTTGACCGGGCATTAAACAACCTTTGACTTTGACCGAGTATACCTATCTTGACATTTTTCGACGTTCCAAATCCGATTCTGCAGTCCGTTTTTCAAAATTCGGACCTGAAGGCCTCGAAATTTCCAGTAAAACCCATTGACTTTGATTTTTACCAAAAATTCCAAATTTTTGAAAAGTCATATTTTATGCTTTCGACGTCCTGAATCCGAATCCGAATTCCGTTTCGCCAAATTCAAACTCGGTAAGCTATTTTTCACTGATTTATCATCCGATTCGATCCGTTTATCTCAATTAAGCTCCGTTTCTGATATAATCTTTGTTGATATGGATCCGAGGAAATATTAGAAGATGATTTCAAGATTGAGGGCGTTCGAATGGAATATAATGGTCGATCAGTATATTGCATGGAAATCGAGGTAATACTTTACTACCTCTTTATGCTTTATGGAACATGTGAATATTGATAAATGCATGATTAAGATAATGTTAGTCTCATTGTGTAGTTAATTATTTTTTATACTCGATCTGAATACGGTAAAAAGGTTCAATAATTAATTATGGTTCAGATGACTTTTATAAGAAATTGAGGGATTGTTAGGATTAAATTACAAGTTATGTGCTTAGTGATAAAGAAATCAACATGGATCTATAACTTATAATTTATTTCATCAAAGGTTAAATGTTAAAGGTACTTGGATGAGAAATTATGAGAATACTCCGGTAGGGTAAAATTATGGAAATACCCTTATGTTATAAAAAGACAAGATTTGAATATGGAAGTTGGATAAGAGGTTTTTACAGACATATTGATCTGATAAAAATATTGATGTGCATAAGAAATGTTAGTTTTACTTGGAAATTATGGATAATCGGTTTTAATCCTAGGAGGGTTTGTGAAGGATAATAGAAGTCTGTTAAGAGAATCGTTTCAAGATCATATAGTGTTCAAGAAAGTAATTAATCATATGATCTCTAAATTATATTATTTTTCGTTAAGAGCTAATATCGAAATTATCTGGTTAAGAAATTACAAAAATGCCCTTCAGAGATAAAATAGTCTGAGTTGATCCTGAATGAGAAAGTACTTTGAGGATTTGTACTTAACTCGATTAAGTACGAATTTAATTGTTAAGTCCTGTCTTTGTACAGAAAAATTCATGATATTCTATTTGTAAAATTTGAGAAGGCACTTGACCCAAAAATATTCGAGTAATGAGTAAATACCTGAAGAATAATATATCGGGGGGGTATTTTGCTGTCAGAATTGTTCGAAATGACTGAAATAAATAATAAGATTGGATTTAATAGTAAGATCGGACGGAAGAAAAGTATTAAAATACACTGAATCTATAAAATGAACAAAATACCCCTGTAATGGAAATGACCAAGAATATCACCAAACTCAGGAATGAGTGGATATCTTCGAGCTCTGAAATGAATGGAATAAAACTGAATACCAAAATTACAAAAATACCTTTATGGCCTATACTAAGTAAATGCCTTGGATTAATTAAGGAATCCAAATAAGCATAGGTATTGGATTACCTTTAAAAGTCATGGAACACAGTTTAAGTGAGCCGATCAACCTTAATGATTTGGTAGTACCTGAACGGCATAGATATTACTTGAATGCGTGCTCGTCTACTCAAGTTTAACTCAATGATAATTTTGGAAGTATTCAGCTCAGCTCAACTCTAGATTGCATTCGGTACTAAGAATTGGATATTGTTCGACAAATCAACCACGAAGACCAAACTGAACTGAACGGAAGTACAATATGTATCCGAAATTCAGAAACGTCCAGAATTACTCTGGAAAATTCCGAAGTAACTGTAATAGACTTGACTGCTAAATGAACTAGGTAACCTCAAGGACTGAGGATTAAGTAAGAGATTGGAATAAGCCTGAAAAACTCGGATGAACTTACGTGATGTATCATCCCTATGGATTATGAACCATAAATCATGTACATCAGCATTTCCTGATACAGTTGAAACATAGAAATGAAATAAAGACCATTAGAATATATGTTCGTCTCCTTAAGATCTGTTCAGTGATGGCTCAGAAGATTATCTATGGATAAGAATATTTGGTATTAAAGAGTAAATACCTTGGAAGGTTATTGAATTTACAAGTAGACAATTATTAGTTTTGGAAGCTATTCATCTGGAGTTGTTCGATAAATTGATTAATCGACATAGATTGTAAAGGTCCTGAACCTTCATTTCTTCCCTATCAGCTCAAGTCACACTCTGAATAACTGATGATTCTGTCATTTATTGAACTCTTCCAATTGTGATTCTGAATTCCAATATTCTATCGGTATATTGAAGATCCGTGTTCCTCTACTTGTTAAGATTATCCAATATCTTTGAATACTATATGTAAATTCTGGTGTGTTCCCTACTCACATGAATATTTTACTTGATTTTTGATTTGATTACTGATCTGATACTTGACATGGATTCTGATATGATATCTTACATTGATTCTGATCTGATACTTGACTTGGATTCTGATCGAATACTTGACCTGGATTTTGATATGATACTTGATCTGGATTATGTTTTGATTTTTGATATATTCGTTTACGGACGGAACATGTTTTATTTGGGGGGTAATGTTGGAGGAAGTATACCTAGAGGCTCCTCGGCTGTGTGCTTAGGACCTTACTTACCGGCTCCTCGGCTGTGTGGTCAGGGCCATACTGGACTTGTTGGTGGGTGTATGGTTCTGGGGAACCTACATATTTTGGACTTGACGGATGGGGGTATATATATATGTTTTAAAAAGATCTGAAAAGTTACATGATTTTTGGGAACACACTAGAAAACCTATTCTGATCTCCTGAACCTAAACATCCGAAATATTCTCCATCAGAACTAAATATTATCTATTAATACCTGAAATATCAATGGGACCTCAGCTCAGCCAAAGAAATCTGTAGATATCTGAATCAATAATGAGATAAATGTTTATTTGTATCTGCACGTTCTTCAGCATCATCTGGTAGTTTTGTATTACTGAGCTTTCTGAAGCTCACTCTATTACTCACCATTGCAGGTTAAAAGAATTGTACCAGTGAAGTTATCGACATCAGTAAAGGAATTCTTCCGGCGTTGTTTCCAGAGAATGATACATGTGATTAGGGGACATGTAATTGTATTTTATTTTATATACAAGTCTGAAAATCTGTTTTATTTTTAAATAGTGACAAATGATTTTATAAGTTTACATGTTCTGATAATTTTTTTTAAAATTTCCGCTATTTTTACAGTGGGTAGCTCCGGTGGCCCTAATGTGACACTCGAGATTGGATCAGGTTACTCTTATCGATCTGAGGGGGTTACATTAATTTATTGTTATGTATTCATTTTGTTACCGGTTTTATCATATTTTTACCTGGTATATTGTTTTGGATCGATATATTTTTTAAAAGTATCGACACTTTTTAGGATTTAAAACTGCTTTTAAAGTTATGTAATTTATGTTTCAATTTATTTAATAGTGTTTCATGTTTTCCACC